GAAAGAGAAGTGAGTGAAAGTGAAGAAAATGAAAGAAAAGAAATAAGAGACGAAGTAGAAGTTGAAGTAGAAGAAGAAAGTAGCTGGTAGTGGAAGGTGAGTGAGTGAGTGAGTGAGTGTCAGCTACAGCTACCAGTCCCCGTTCGTTGCTTCTTTGTTTGCCTTTGTCAGCCTGCAGGCTTTGAGCCAATTGTTTAACTTAATAGTACGACGAGGAAAGGCCGTACGAGGAGGAGGAGTTGTGGAGGCCGTGATCATTACGAGTCGACGGACCACCACCGCCCCCTCCTCCTCCCCCTCCATTTCGCTTGCCTCGGTGGTGATCACTCGCCGAGTGGTGGTGACCACTGCTGTGGTGACCACTGGTGCTACTGTAGTGCTGGTGGTGACCGCTGCCGCCGCCATGGTTTACCCCCGAAGAATGCTGTCCTTGACCACCGTGGTCAGAGTGCGAGGAGGACATTGAAGAGTTAGAGGAGCAGGCAGAGCCTGCTGAGCTGCGCCGTCGAGAAGACTGCTGCTGAAGTTGTTGCTGGTGATGCCCCAAACCCTGCTGATCCCCTCGATTCTCCTTGCTCTCCGACTTTCTCCTTCTAGTGCCGCTGCTGACACTTTGCTCCAACTCGTGTAACCTCAACTCGGGCGCCAGCTTTCGAAAGAAGGGATGGTCAAGCGCCTCCGCCAGACTCATCCGACTGCTGGGGTCGTACTCGAGCAGGCGGGAGATGAGGTCAAACAGCTGCCGGTGGTCGTCATTCTCGGGCACGGTGATGTACCGGTGGAGGGGCTTGCAGTTCTCGCGGACGTACCGCCCGGCGGAGCTCCGCTCGTCCCAGTCCATCAGCTTGCCGTGGTAGTAGTACTTAGTCCTGGTGGGGAAAGAAAAATAAAATGGTCAGGAAAATGCAAAAATGATCTTCCTCGTACAACCACTCACTTTGATTTGCGACTCATCCGGTAGGGCATTGGCCCGAGAATGCGCTCCATCATCGCCAGGTGCTCCAGATTGTCGTGCGTCTGAAAGANTGAAAAAATAGGTTAGAAAAATGCAAAAATGATCTTCCTCGTACAACCACTCACTTTGATTTGCGACTCATCCGGTAGGGCATCGGCCCGAGAATGCGCTCCATCATCGCCAGGTGCTCCAGATTGTCGTGCGTCTGAAAGAGCGTCATCCCCTGGTACAGCTCAAAGAGAATGCACCCGACACTCCACACGTCACACGGGTGACTCCACCCGAGCTCCAGAATCACCTCCGGCGCTCGGTAATGGCGGGTGCTCACTATCGTACTGTGGTGCTCCTCGTCAAAGGTCGCCGAGCCAAAGTCGATCAGCCGAATGGCGGTGTCCTTGATGCGGCGTAGTTCGCGCTTCTG